ACAGGATTTCTAGTGTTATCCATCCCCAGTTTGCTGCTTAGGGTTAGAAAAGGTAGTCAGTCCCAAGTCGTGGAATTCTGTTCTTAAAGGGTTACCACATACCATCAATGTGAGAGACGGGGATGCTGATGTTTGATCCGAGTCCTGTAGCAACCTGGAGCACGCTGCCTTCCTGAACCAGGTCTGCTGCCTTGTCCGTGTAGGGGTAGGGCTTTGTCCTCAGCTTCAGCAGGATCTGTCAGCAAAGGTGGAGAGAAAAGTAAGTTAACCAGCTCCCAAGTGTGGGGGAACCATGTGCTGCTAAGGAAGACCACGTGCTGAAAGTGGTTGGAAGCCGGGCGGGTTTTAGGACGACAAGTTCCATACTACTGCGGGATTCTGTCTACCGTTCCTGCTCTACAAACCAAATACATCAAACGACAAAAACAAACAAACAAAAAAACCCCCCACATTAAATTAACAACAACAAAATATTCCTACCTCAATAACCCCATAATGCCTCGAACCATTCCAGGGAGGGCGCCAGGAGGGGCGGGCAGAGCCAGGGCCCCGCTCCGCCGCCCCGGCGGCATTTTCCGGCACGCGGCCGCTCCCGGCGTCTGGAGAGGGGCGCGGGGCCGGGAAAGGCGGCGCAGCCCTGCTCCGATGCCGCTCGGCCGCGGCCCGGGAGCGCTGCGACCGCGCCTCCGCCGCCCGCCGGCACCGGCCCCGGCCGCCCTCGGCCCGCGGAGCCGCCTCCAGCCCTCCCCTCACTCACAGACACCGCCCCGCTCGCCGCTCGCTCCCGCCCCTCGCCCCTTCCGCCCCGTCTCGCTGGTTTTGCCGGGCGCTGGCTGCGGGGCTGCAGTACCGCTCTCCGTCCACAAGGCGGCAGCACTTGTCAAGCGAGTCAGCGACAAGATGGCGGCCCGTGGGGACCTTGATGGTGACAGGCGTTTTTGCCGATGCCTGTCGGCTCCCGCCAAAAACCCGCACGCTCGCGGTGCTGCTGGCCCCACAGCCCGTGTGCACGGCACCGGAGCCGCCGCGGAAGATCCTGTCGGGGGGCGCCGGCGGTGCGGGCAGTTCAGGCAGTGTAGAAAACAGACACGGGTCCTCGAATTTCAACGTCCTCGTTTTCGCGCCCTCTCGAGAAGGTCAAGCGAGTCCGCGCCACGCCACTCCCAAGATGGCGGCCGCGGGCGGCGGGCCGCAGTGCCGCTCTCTGCCCACACGGCGGCAGCACTGCGCCGTCAGCAGCGAATGCCCCAAAGATCCGCGCGGGAAAGAACGGAACAAAAAACCTGCCTCTGACCCGATTGGAACCGAAAGAACAAACCTTTCCTCTTAAACTGCATTTCAATCTATTTTATTTTTATATTTTTCATATTTATATTCACATTCGGATTTGTAATGTATACTGATGTATAATTGTATTTTCATAATTTCTTACATTTATTCCTATTATATTTTATATTTTTATACATATCTTAATAGATTGATTACATATTTCTATAGTTAGATTTAGATTTCTAAAAGGTTTATATTGCTTTAAATAAACCCCTGCCTCTATCCAAGTAAAAATCTTTAAAAAACACCTTTATTTAAACTCCATTTAAATTTATTTCTATTTTTCATATTTATAGTCAAATTTACATTTTAAATGTAGATTGATGTATGGTGTTATTTATAGTCTATCTCTTTCTAATACTATTTTTATTTCTATTATATATTTATATATATATCTGTATACATTGAGTATATATTTCGATATTTAGAACAATATCAGAATGTATATTCATACTTTTTCTATTAAAGCCCTCCCTCTAACCAAAAAAGCCCTTTCTATAAACAACACTCGAATATTTATGTATTTTTTTTTTCATCATAATAGTCACATTTGCATTTCTACTTTATATTGATGTTTTTATAAATATTATTATATATAATGAGGTAGCAAGATAGAATTTAAATAAAAATTTATCTATTTCGTACATACCGCTAATACTTATATTTACTTACCTTTGAATTTTTATATAGATCTTAACGTATTTAGGATATATTTATATACAAAAATTTCTTATTATATTTTATTTTTATTCATAATTTTTATAATAAAACCCCTACACCTACTACTGAATAGAAAATAAAATCCCCTTTATTTTAAACTACATTTAAATATTTCTTTATTTCTATTTTTGATTTTTACAAGTACTTATATATTCTATCACAATATATTGAAGTACTATATTTTGATATATAATATTTATGACATATAATGTGTTAGAATAAGACATATACAGTAAAATATGCATTATGTACTATATTGATTCCTATTATTTTGTAATTTTTATATTTATGTATCCACATGTATTAATTATACATCTCTATATGGATATTTTGTTTAAATTTATAATCTATATTTATATGCATTTATATAGGTGTTGCGCTATTACAGGCTATGCAGCAGGGCAGAGCAGCTGCGGGACAAATACGTGCAGACACCCATGACACAGGATAGGATGTGACAAACCAGGGGACAGGACAGGGAGAGAGAGTTTTCGAGGAGAAGAAAGGACCGAGAGACCAAAGAACACAGAGTGCACCAGAGACAAGTGACAGGACACGCACCAGCACTGCTCTGCCCTAAGCACCTCAGCACTGAGATCAAAACAGACACTTTCCCTTTAGGTGGCCTAAAGGAGATGCTTCCTGGACATCCCCATCTCCAAAACTGACTCAAAAACCCCTCTGGGGGAGTCCCAACCTGGCATTCTGCTTCCATCTCCTCTGCAGTTGCAGCCCTTGACTTATTTTGCCCATATCTGGGGATGCAAATCCCCATCGGGTGCAGAGGGAGGCCACTATTCCCATCTCCAGGCCGTGGCCCCAACTTATCTTTTGGATAACTGGTGATGTGAATCCACGTTGGACCTGAAATGAGTCTGGCTCAGAGGAGATAGCCTGTTAGCCTCTTAGTCAGCTACAATAAAGAACAGGAAAATCAACGGTTGTGTTTAGTGCTATATGGGCCAAGTCCCAGCAAGTCAGCTACTTATCCTCTCCTGAGTGTGCCTGGGTGCTCAAGTCTCCAGCCTCATCCTGAGTCCAAGGTATGGCTGTTATGATGAGTGGCACCTGGGTTAGAGAGGCAAAGCTACATGGCATTTGTGTGAGTTCGGTGGATGAGCTTGTGTGCTGTATGACACATGGATGCCTCTGCTATGCTTGTGAAAAGCTCTGCAAATACACACCATTTCTCACCCTACTGCCTGCAAACCCCCACCATGGTAACTCCTAACTGGGCACCCTGCTCACTCTTCCTCTCCTAGTCACAATCCTCAACTCACCTGAAGCCTCAATCTCAGACATCATCTTTGAGACAGGCCAGATCCCTTTTGTGTCATGATGAATCTGCTGAAAAAATGTTGTATTTGACAAAAAAAGAAAAAACAGGAAGTTGCACTCCTCCTAAAAAAAAAAAAAAATAAATAAAAACAAACCAAAAAAACTAAAATAAAACCAGAAAATCAGAAATTACAAAAACACCTTACCACCCCTGAATGCACAACCCCAAATCACGAATTTAAATACTCCCTGTGTTGAACGTTGTTTTCTTCACAGTATCTTCAGAGCCTCTGTTGTATTAGAAGCCCAAAATCAACTGCTGAAAACAAGCTGAGACAAGTTGAAACAGCCTCTTCACCAAAATGAGAGGAGAGCTCTTACCCCAGATGATCCCAGAAAGGGAATGAAGCCCCTTGGGAAAGGCTGGGGTTAATATACCCCTGATTGGGCCCACCTCTCGTTCCCTTGGCACCCAGGAAAAGAGAGGGGGCAAACCCCACCGAGTAAAAAGGCCCTCAGAGCAGCTACAGCTGTTTGGCTCCTCTGGCTTGAATTCAAAGAGAATAAAGGGCTTGATATAGAAGAAAACTCTTCAGGAAAATGACAGCACTTTCGTTTTTGCTACAACTAGTGGGAGCAAAAGGGCGAGAAAACTACTAAGAAATAAAACTTTGGTTTTAGGCAGCATATCTAGATAAACCGGGTAATTTGCTGTTAACTTAATATAATTATTCCTCAGTGGCTGCTAAGTAGTACTCAACATGAGACTAAGTGGGGTGGAGAAGAATACTAATTATAGGAACAGTCTAAGTCTCCTTGGGGCTACTAATTAGGGCTACCTACATTATAAATAAAGATAAGAAAAATAATAGGCTCCTGGGCAGCATAAAGTTCAAGTACATGCTAGGCTCACCTTTCTCTGAGGTATTTAGTCCTAGGGCACAGAAAGAAGTACCCTGAAAGGTAGTTTTAAACCCTTAAAATGCTGAAAAAGGGAGAGCATCCTCCAAGTGAAGCCCTTAAAAGGAGGAAATGGGGAAGTTACCTCCACTGAAATGGATACCGTGGCAAATAAATGGCTTCTGCCCTTTAATTTAATCCCCTAGAATACTGGGAAGAGAGAGGCTTTCCTCACTTTAAATCTCTCCAGTGATGAAGACAGAGGGATTTCCCCCTCAATCCAAACCCTTATGAGGGATAGCTGGGCTTCCCCCTCAATTTAAGCCTTAGGTCAACAAAAAGGGTTACCCTTAATTCAAACCCATAAAAACATTGTCAAGGTTTCCCCCTTCTATTTAAACTGGAAAGTAATGGAAAATGGGGATTCCCTGACAATTAACACAGCATAGAAAAGGCAAGGACTCTTTCAACTGAGACCATTAAAATTGCAGGGGAAGTGGATTCCCTCATAATTTTAACACAAGAAATAATGGAAAAGGAAGCTTTTCCCCATAATTTAAACCCCTTCTCTCTTCATAACCCCTCTCTTTTCTGGGAGTGCTGTGGAAGGTCTGGGGTTTCTAGGGAGGGACTGACACAATAAAAGGGGAAAGTTGAAAGCTCTCCCGGGGAACCCCACATGCTGCCTGGCCTGCTCAGGTGCTGCCCCTTGGCAAGAGGGCTCCTCCCTCGGCATTTTCTCAAAGGGATGCTCGTGCCCAGGTGGGTCCGGCTGCTCCCCAGTCCCTGCTGATGTTCCAAGCATAGTTCCTGGAGGGACACTTGGGATACCCCTGTTAGCCCCTCTGGATTAGCAGCTCCCTGTGCAGGTGTGCCCAGGTAAACCTCTGAAAACAGCTGGTCACATGGGGAGCTGCTACACTTCAGAGTGAGTGATGAGGTGAAGAAAGGTCCTGTGGGGAGCTCCCTCCCCTACGCAGCCCTTTGCCTGCCCCTTCAACAATGGGGTTCCAGACTTTCCTTTCCAAGGAAATTAACAGTTTTTCCTCTCTGTGTGCTCCTGGCCAAACAGGAATTGCTTCCAAAATTGCATATAGCGAACGATTTCTCACAGAACACAGCTGCCAACATCAAGAACTGCTGCCCTTGGAGTGAAGCGCACCTCCAGTGAGCAGACATCAACACACAGCCAGAGTGAGTTTGGGTTTACAGGGAAAAGGACCAGCGCATGTGTCCAGGGACCAGTGGCCCAGAAGGACATTCTGCATCCTCTAGTTCTAAATGGTGCAGGATTTCACATGGAGAAAAACTGCCCCCATGAAGAATTTGGGTGGCCTCAGTAGTGACAAGCACCTCCTGCAAACCAGCATCAGGAACCTGGGGTGGTGAGTTCTGTTTAACAAGGAAACGGGCTGGGGCTCAATTTCCGGGGCCTGTGGCCCTGAATGGGCAGTTACCTCCTAAAATTTGAATGGCACAGGCTGTGTCCCACACCCAACCTGCCCCCACCTCAAACTTGTACTGCCCTGACAGTCCCAAGCGCACCCTGCAAACAGAAATCAGGAACCTGGACTGGCAAGTTTTGTTTCACATGGCAAATGGCCCTCAGTCATGACCAGGGCCCTGCAGCCCCCTGGAATGTCAGGACCCAGCCTTTTGCCTCTTCCATTTCAAAACAGTGCAGGATTTCTCCCAGACCAATCTGTCACTCCCAAGGAGTCAGGTTTCCTTGGGGTGCTGAATGCCTCTTGCAAACTGACAGTACGAAGCTTGGGGCTTCATATTTTCTGTGCTGTCTTCTTGACAACTGCCAGTATGTAACCCTAACCCTAACCACAAGCATTTCGCTGGGCCCAGAAATCACAGCCTTCAGACCAGCAGCATGGGACCTGACCCCCTACCCCTCAACTGGCACCTTCCCAATGCATTCCACAGCATTCCAACTAATACTCTACGTTGTCAGTGGGCATCCTGTCTGACCCTCATCCCGACCCTAAAAACGCACTAAGGAATTCTAAAACAGCCCTTAAGAAGGTGTTAACAATACCCTAAAAGACACCAGAAAAGTTCTAAAAAGCCTTCAAAAATCCCCTAAATATTCCTAATAGTCCTGCAAAAAAAAAAACCCTAAAAAAGTGCTCAGTCCCCAACCCCTACCAGTCACTCTCTAGCCAGCAAATATCATCCCTACCTTTTAATTAGGGTCACTGCCTGCAGCTGCTGGGAGGGTTCTGGGGCTGTCCCAACATTAGGGTCACTGCCTGTACCTGCTGTTGGAGAAAACTGATTTTCTAGAGGTGCTGTTTAGGGTTAGTGCTGCTGCTGTACCCTAAGCCTTCCTGGTACTCTATGTTCTGTCCTTTGTACCCCTAACCCTCAGTGTCAGCTCTCCACCTGTCAAGTCCCCCCTCTTTGCCCCTCAGCCCACAATGTCTGTGTGTCACCCAAGTCCCCGACACTGTCCCTTGGCCCCCTAACCTCCACTGTGCACTCCCCACCTGGGGAGGGGTGGTTTTTAGGGTGAGGTTAAAGGTGGTGCAAGGGCTGGTTCACCTGTCACCCTCAAGGCACCCCCTGCCCCTCAGCCTCCTTGTGTCACCCTCCAGTTCCCCACCGCAGCCTCTCAGTGTCTCTGTGTCACCCTGGAGCCTCCCTTTTTACTCCTGAAGACCCCTTCTGCCCCTCAGCCTCCTTGCGTCACCCTCCTTGCTTCACCCTCCAGTTCCCCACTGCAGCCTCCAAGTGTCTCTGTACCACCCTGGAGCCCCTCTTTTTACTCCTAAAGACCCCTTCTGCCTCTCAGCAGCCCCCATCCCCTGTGTCACCATCCAGCTCCCTCCCTTCAGCCCCTTTGTGACACCATGCAGCCCACAGACACTGTCCCTGCCTGTTTTATTGGGGTGTTGTCCTGCTGTGAGGGCCGCACTGTCCCCACGTGTTCGGGCCCCCACATATTCCTGCAGAGAGTCACAGGTGGGCAGTGGGGGGACTGGAGGGATGGGGCAGGGGCAGGCTGGGGAGGGATGAAGGGTAGAGAGAGGAAGGGGGCAGGGGCAGGCTGTAAGTTTGAGTAGGGGTGAGGGGCAGAGAAGGGGACACGGCAGAAGAGGGCTGAGGGGAGAACGTAGGGGTTAGGAGCAGGCACCCCATATCTCCCAGACCACATTTAGAAACCCTTCAGCAAAAACGCTGGAAAAGCAAAGATGATGTCTAGTCACCTGGAGCTCCAGAGGATTGAGGTAAACATGGGGAATGAGCAGAGAGTGAACAGCTTCCACTGCTTTTCGTTCCAGCTGCTACTACAAGTTCAGCTTCCCTGCAATTTCATGTCCAGTGTGTCTCTTCCAAGCTCAACAGATGAACAAGTACTTCAGGACTGGAGAGAGGGTGTCTTCTGCTACATGGCTGCAGTTCCAAGAGGAATCTGTAAAGTGCTGATGTTTAGACTAAAAGACTAAAAGCCATGTCTTTGTGACTGAAGAGACAGAAATGCAATGGGAATCAAGTGGAGGAACCTCATGTTTCCCACAGCCCAGCAGCCTCTGCTTGGCCTGACTGGCAGAGGTGGGATGGGGAGCTGCTCTGAACAACAGAGGCAGCTTCACTCAGCAGAGGGAGCTGCTATGCCTGAGATTTTTTTGCTTGTATGTTTTTAAAGGCTATTTAGTGGTTTAATGGGATGTTTCATTGACTCATGACCCATAAAATCATGTTGTAGCAAACCTGTGGGTGCTTGGGACTATTTAAAAATGCAAATAGCAGAGGGAAACTCAAGGTGACCCCCTTCTTCTGTCAGGATGCAACTGAGTACTTTTTCTGCCTTTCCTGCTGTGCCACAGAGGGCTTTGTGTTACACCTGGCACCAGGGCTGCTGGAGCAGCTTTAGGTCCCGCAATGACACTGTCTGCTCCGTGTCTCCCCAAGAAGCTGGCCTCGGCAGGGCAGCAAAAGACACTTGTGCAAGAGCTTTGCAGAAGCAGGGCAGAGAAGACTATGTCCCAGCAGCCTCTGCCCATGACAACAGCACCTTGACAACAGCAAACTTGAGGACCCTGGCTTCCTTGATATCTCATCCAAGTTCTCACTCACCATTTGCAAAGACTCTCAGATGCCTAAATCATACCACAGAAAATTGAAAAATGGTGAAGAATAAACCGAAACAGAACATCCTAATGCAGCGCTTGACCCTGGCTTCTGCCACTCCAAATTCCTGTCAGAGGTATCAAAAGGAATTTGAGCTGACCACACAGCATCCTCTCTGCTCCAGCCCATCCTCTGCAGCACAGCTAGGTATGGCAGAGTCACAGACAAATGCAATACATCTTGATTCCTCCCAAAACATAAGCCAGCCTGACACAGGAATTTTGTGAGACCAGGAGTTTTTGTGCACAGATTAGTCTGGGGCAGTGGCTGTAACTGCATCTCGTTTGGCTGCACTACTCCTCATCCAAAGGTGAAGTTGCTAAGAGCCTCAGTAGACAGTACTTTGCTGCAGGTATCAGGCTTGATCTGGCACAGGACCGGGAGAATTCCACTTAGGCGGCCAAGGTTTATTAGAGAAATTGTTAAATTACAATGACTCGTATACAAAGATCAGCTGCAGTGCCTTCTGAAAGGCAAAGGTGTTTCTGACCCATAGAAACTGACACAGGTTACCCAGACACCAGTGACTACAGCAGGCTTGACAGTAAATAATGGCCACCTTGCAGTTAATCTTAGTGGAGTCACAGTTTCTTCTACCTAGTACATCCAATGGGATGTGTACATTGTGTCAGCACATAACTACTACCTCCTGCTGGCTGCCTTTCTGTCACCTTCCATCTCAGCAGCATCTCTTCTGTCCCTGCTCCATCCCGGGAGTTCTCCCCTCCCTTGTTTGCTGCGTTTAAACATCCAGAGCAACTCATCTCTATGAAGTATTTCTAAATTCAACATGACGCTGCTCTCATCTTTAATAGGATGGGGGAATAAGAAGATGCAGGACTCAACTCCGTTATTAGACCTTTAAACTAAAATTAAGAAGAAAGAAAACTCCAAAACAAAAGCACTGTTCATTTCTCATGGAGAATTCAAATCCTTCACTGGCATGTTCCTAGGAATGTTTTTTTTCTGCTTGCAACAGTTAGCAATCATGGAGCTGTATCCGGAGCACCACAGTGTTGTCCTGCCGGTGAGATGAGCCATCAGAGGGCCATACAGACCAGTGCTGCTGTCCACACAGCCAGCACGAGGCTGGCAGTCAGTCTGGGTATGGGGTGAGGGTGCAGGGATGGGGTGCCTGAGGTGCAGGAGCAGACCTCGTAGCCATTCTTCGAGCGGCTCTCGTCATGCTGTCCCGGCCTGGAGCGCGCCCCAGTCCTGCTGCTCCCGGCTGCCTCGGGGGCATCGGCCAGCATGTCACTGCACACCAGCCAGTCCCTGGCGATGGACTGTGGGTACCCTGGCGGCACCTCCAGCTCACTGTCCAGCACCTTCCAGTACTCCTTGCCCTTAAAGAAGTAACTTGCACCTGCAAAGAGACCAAAACCCAAACATGAGGTGGGCTTTTCAGGGGAAAGAAACCACAGAGAAATCTCATCAGAAAATAAGTTGTAATTCTGGGAAAACAGTTTTAAAAGTATTTTCTGTCTGCATCCTCATATATGCAGCGTAAAATCCAATGACAACAAGACCAGTGAGGAGCAAATCAGCCCATACTAGGATAAAAATCACTGCAAAACAGTGACATCACACATCAACTGTGTTCTTTTAATAAAGTGCAATAATTATCCTCCCACGGTATTTTTGTTGCCCGTTTAAAATTACAAACTCTTCTAGTGAGTAGTATAGGGAGCTCTGGCTGGAATCACACCTCTCTCTTCAGCTTCCAGTCACCATGAGTATCCCATCAGGGGCTCAGCGTTTGTGTTGGCACACAGGATAGGAGGGGAGGGGCTACAGCTCAACAGAGTGCTGATTTTCTTTGCTGTGCTTTTTTAAACTGCCATACAGACTCACCGTCTGACCACCTCATGGCATCATCTAAAGGGCTGGGTATTCCCTTCCACGGGAGGGCCTCTGAAGGATAACCAGGATCCATCCTCCGCTCATGGTCATCATAGCGCCAGTAGAGATTGTCCTTAAAGAAATAAGTCTTGTCATTGTGAGCCCAGGAGAAAGCAGCGTCGATTCCTCTCAGGGGCAGGCCAAAGTCTGAAATAGGCCGTGGGTACCCTTCCTCCACATTGTTGTCTTTGAAGACCCAGTATCTGTCTCCTGTAGAAAGGAAACAAGCACAGAATAAAATCACATTTGTTTCACAGCCTAAACCAGCATTTCCCCACAGATGAGCTGAGCTAATGTTTTTTTATCTACTGTGGTGACAAAGCCTCAGGGTTGAGCTCTAGGCATTTAAGGATGGGAATAGGAAGGGGTCAGGAAGGGGAACCTCTGTCTTTGAATAGCTGCTTCTTTGTGTCAGGCTGTCCATGGCCATAGCCCCACTTTGCTGCTGAAACCATGACTGTCCCAGGACATGAATACACTGACAGCATCAGTACAGCTGTCACTTTTATGTATTTGATAGAAGCATTTAGATTTCTGCCCGATATCCAAAGAAACAAAGCAGCTTTTGTGGGCAAACTGGGCACTTTCTGCAGCCTATTTGGCTCCTGAGAAGCCAAGTGTAGTCCACTTTGGAAGAGAAATCACCACTTTCTAGGGCCAGACGGGCCAAAAGACCTGTGCATTATGAGGATGCACAGGGACTGGATACATCTTTTATGAGCAGCTCGCTGCTCTTCAAGGATCTTACACAGCTGCCCCCTCAGCCTGACCTTGGGCAGAAGAGAGCAAGCAAATGAACCCAGATGTCTCAATTTCTCCATAGTTCTCTAACGACTGGGACAGTCTTTCTTCTTTTACAACGTCTGTTTGGGAACCTACAGTACCCTTTTGGGTATCGCATAGCCTTGAGGATCAGAGTTTTTCCTCCCTTGGTTTTCTAGAATATCTGAAGAGGCCCTTAAAGGCATGCCCATGTATCAGCAGCAGGACCTTAGAGGCCAAGGTCATTTGTGTTCTTTGGTTTTTGTCCAGGGATCAATGAAATAGCACTGGAGGGAGAGAATGAGTCGTATTTTGTAGCTGGAAAGAAAATTCAGAGTTTATGTTGGGAACTAGACAGCGCTAACACACACAGAGAATGCATGCTTTGGAACAAGATGCCAGCCGTGGAACATCTGGAATTACAGCCTCCTGAGCAGCTAAAAGGAGGCCCTGGACCTGAGCTCCGGGTTGGTTGTCTGTTCATCCCCAGCAAGGTGAGAAGGGAGGGAGGGAAGGAGTGACCGAGGACCACTCTGGTCTGCAGACCTGACAGGGAGGGTCTAGAGCCAGGCATAGGGGGTGGTATGCTCCTTAAGCTGGCCCCATTCCCTCTGGGAAAGCAGAGCAGGGCAGACTGCCTGAAGGAAGTGGACACACATGGCAGAGCCTTCCATATACTGTTTCATGGAGAGATGTGGGGCTCAGTGTGGCTCTGAGGGGCTCAGTGTGCCAGCAGTCCAGGAGGGTGTCAGCTGCACTTGGAAAGGTCTTCTGCAAGTGCAGGGGCTGGCATGGGACATGAGCCATCTCTCTGGCCTGGCTGGGGAAACTGAAAGCAAATTATTGCTTCTAGAAGTGCTTGGCTCAGCACTTCTGAAACCAATAATTGCATCATGTTTCAAGCAGAACCGTCAGGAGACAAAAAGCAATTTCCAAACGGGAAGAATGGAGGGCTGAGATGTGTTTAGCACTTCAAGTGCACAACCTTGGTGAAACAAGAGTCAGTGCTTGCCAGTGTCTTGGGTGACATTGAGTGCATGGGTGGCATCTAACCAGCACATATGGATGGTCTGTGGGGGACCTGGACATTTGTGTAGAAACCAAGAGCTAAACTGTTCCTCCAGCTCTTCCAAAATAGAAGCCTGCAAGTGTTTTTAGATAAAAAGAGAAAATTATACTACTAATTTTAAGAAAAAAACCCCACAGTAACAAATATAATTATTAGAACTGAAGGCCTTCAGTTTCAGTTTTATTTCCTCTCTGACTTTTTCTTTTCTCACCAACAAATACTAAAAAGAGAAAAGGTCAAAGGAGGAACACAACATGAGTATGTGTAGGTGTGGTTCCTGCTTGTGTTTCATTCTTGGAAAGCTCAGATTTTTGTTCCATTTGGTTGAACTTTATCTTCAATGACATTTCCCCCATTTTCTGGGGAACGTGACCATTACCTTTTGCTTGCCCTCCCTGCCAGCTCATTTCTCCTCATGGACAAAAGGATTCAGACCGGCACTCAAGATGCTTAACACGCGGCACCGGTGTCTCCTGCCTAGCACCACATTCTATACCTCCAGCATCATATTTGCTCTCACCTTTGAAGAAGACTATCTTGTGGTCGCTGGTTCTCTCATAGACTGCATCCAGGCTGTCCAGGTTGAGCGGCAAGCCTCGCCAGAAACGGTGAATCTGAGCCGGCTGGAGGGAGACCAAGTGCTTATTGCGAGTCAGTCTCCAGAAGTACTTGCCTGGAGGGACAGACTGGACATTATTGAACCACACTCAACCCACCTTCCCTGGGGGGTGAGTGTTGGGTGGGTGGCAACAGCAGGAAGCAAAGCATGTGAGATAGGGAGCCATGATTTAGAGTCATCCTGCTTTCCAGCAGCAGCTGTGACTGCTTTCTATTTCTGGCAGCCATTAGAAGAAATCCCTTTCTTTTTTGGATAAAAGTAGTCCTCTGGACATTGCGCTGGAGCTGTTATATTCCTGGCCACAGCGTGAGGCTGTGCTGCTGAACCGGGGCAGGAGAGAGGAGCCTTTCATCCCCTCCCTCCCTCTCTGCTCGGGACCTCCTGCGAGCTGGTGGGACCAGGCACCAACAGCCTTAAGCAAGAGCTTCCAAAAAAACATCCCTGTTCCTCCTCTCCTGGAGCAGCTACAGCTTCCTTAACACGGGATGTCCAGCTGATTTCATGTTTGGAAATGTCTAGGATGTTACAATGAAACACAGAAATACCAGACAGGTTGTTCTGTAATGAAGAAAAGGAGCAAGAAAATAAAGGAGGAGGAAAACATCTGAATAGATCTGGAAGGGTGGAGGTGGGGAAGGAGGCAGTTAAGGACTTTGGTGCCATCTAGAGGTGCTGGTTGCTAAGCAGAAACTGCAGTCCCGTGGAGCTTCCAGGATGAATGTACTAGTGGTGCCAGAAAATGCACTTCAACACCTACAGCAGCACTGCCCCAGCCAGGGAAGAGTATTTCAGGGATTTCTGAAATAATTTGGATAGTGTAAAAGAAAACAGATTTATCCTTTGTGGGAAAGACGACAAATCTATTCCTGCTAAAAGAGCCTTATATGGGATTTCCTGAGGAGTCTTAATGGTTTTCAGGGGCAACTCCAAACCCAAGTCTGTGTTGGCTCTGGGATTCTCAGCCTTTTTGTAGCACATATAATGCTGTATTTTCTCCAGAGAGCTCCATGGAGTGACATGAGCCAGAACAAGATGTTTAGGAGGCAACTCTCAACTTTGTCTTGTATTTGTTATTGCCCGTTAGAAATTACTGCACATTATTTGTATCTGGTCTTGAATGAACTTCTGAGGCGAGGTAACCAATAGAAACCAAAGATGCATCTTCAGATTGGTATGCCCCACACACTCAGTTTTTTCTGCAGAGACGGCAGATTGTGACACCAGCTTTTAAAATTTTATGGAAATTGGGTCTTAGCCTAATAATGCAGGATGCAAAACTCTAACACTTTAGTATCTGCAGAGAGGGAGTTTTATACTAATTATAAGGATTTATATCATATTCTCGTTCTTCTGCTCCAGTTTGCATATTTGTTCTATCTACATAAGTTAATAATACATTCCAACATGGTAGGAATTGCCATAATTACAGACTCTTTTTAAGAATATAAAAAAACCCAAGGATTTAAATTTGGTGGCCATTTTACATCAATGGAAACATATGTAATTAAATAAAGATGATCTCTGCATCTGTAATTAGCAAGGCACTAGACAAGATCAGATTTCCACTTTTTTAGCAAGAAATACAGCTCAGCTTAATTCCTTCTTTAGTAGATCAGCATCCGAACTTCCAAGTGCCCTGGGCTCATTGGAGACACAAAGGGAAGCCCCAGTACTTTTGACATTTCGTCCCTTTGCAAGTGATGGGCTCAGCGGGTGAGCAGCTGCAGCAGGGAAACCTTAAATCCACCCTAAAAGTCAGGAATAGCCTGAGCTGTTGGTGACTTTGGTTGGCTTTTTATAAACTATCAGGAAGAAGAAAGAAAATAAAGTAGCAAGGAATTCTGAACGAGACAACCCCAGTCTGCCTGGGCTCATGATCTGCCACAGCCCAGCCTGCACACCAAAGTGCTGCTGTTGCATGGAGGATCATCAGCCGAAGCCAGATCCATGGGAGAACTGCTGCGATTAGCATGCAGGAATAATTTAAAAACCAAAATGCCCAACCCTGTACTTGTTTAAAAAGCTCAACTTATACCTTCCTCTGAGCTGGAAAACTGAACATGATGAAAGCCAAGTGTGAGGGTCCTGCTGCACCAATTTGTGGATGACGGGTTGAGATAATTGCTTTCTTTAATTTCAGGTAATTTTGATCCCAGCTGTGTTCCACGCTATCCAGACTTTGGGTGCCTATGGCAAGACTGCTGCATGCAACATACAGACACACACGCAGGCCAAAGGCATTTAAACTTTGGGAATCTGTGGTGAGGCACCTACATCAAAGCAAGCGGTGATGCCAAAGAGCAGAGAACCCACTGTTGCCTTCAAAAAAACATGCCTGTGTGGTCTGGGGAGCTCCAGTCCTGGTGCCTTTGCAGTGGCTTCTTTCCATCTAGGGAACCAGCAGGACCACCTCAAAACAAAATGCCCATCAAGGGACAAAAGAGGCGACATCCCCTCTCCTTGGTGTGCACAATGGTTCAGGGGGCAATAATGGGGGCTGCAATTAAAGTGCTGGGGTATGGAGGCAGACATGCAGCTGGCACCCACTGACCTTGTGCTCTTTACATCTGCTTTTTGGCCTGCAATAAATATATCCAAAAATAGACACCGAGATGGATTTCTCTTTACTTCATCAATTTTTCCCCTCCGAGGGACAGCCAGCCATTTATCCTGACACCAGTTCATGTCTTTGAGTTTCCCTTCTTCACTATGGGTTTTTGGAGCTGGCATCTGAACAAATAATGTTGTGGAACAGTCTCCATACTGTGCTTCCCTCAGGTGACATGCAACAACAAATTCTCTGGAACCCTTTTGCTGTTCTTGCCTGTGACCCAAGGCTCTCACTGTGCTATCCAGATGCTGGGATGCCACTGCTCATCCCTGGAGAAAATGCTTCTGCTTACCTGGTGGATGGCTTTGGGGTGGCCAAATGGTGGCCAGGGATGCAAGGAAACACCCATGAACATTTTTACATCTTGGAAAGATGAGAAAGCAAGCCCATAGAGTCCAGCCTACACAGGCTCTGCTCAGCTGAGAAGGCACCGATGAGATCCTCATCAACAGCTGGGCACCCCGGGAACATGGTACAAGCGAGTGTTCACTGGCCCAAAACCAGATGGTCCTCAATTGTGTACACACTGACTTTGAGAGATGTACGGCAAGCAGAATTAGGGAGGGTGAAGCAGGGAAGGAAAGGAAGGCTGGAGGTATCCAGGAAGAAAGCAGTGGAGTGTTGTTGCTGCTCTGCTCATCCTTGGTTCGACCTCGATTTTGATTTTTTGGTAGCACAAATATCAGACTTTAATTCTTCGCCAGGCAGTCTAATGCAACGGATCACAGTAAAAACTGCTGTGCTGGATTGTCACCAGTCCAGCCACACACTCAGGTATGTGAGATGCCTCCCTGGGTCTGTGGGAAAAGCCCACAAACCCTAGACAGCTCATCCTCACCACTCACTTCCAGCCCGTCCCACACTGTGCTGCCTCTGGTGCTGCCACGTCAAAGCTACCACAGGGTGGCATAGGCACAGACCTCTGGTGCTCACCTTTGAAGAAGAAAGCCTCTCCCCGGATCTGGGCCACTGCATCGAAGTGGGTGGTACACCTGTTGGGCATGTCCCGCCTGAGCCTGTGAAAAGATGCCCAGGTGAGCAGGGACCAGGCAGACAGTGAGGAGCTGTGTCCCCTCCAATGCCTCCCATCCCACAGATTGATTCACCCCTGCTCCTGGAGAAGATTACAGGCTGTGCCCATCTGTCACTCCCCATGCTCAAGCCCAGCCACGTGCACAAGGATTTCCAAGGCGAGCTCAGGCAAATCTCAGCCTGAAGACACACTCTACATCCACCAGCTCGTGTAGCTGGTGAGGGCTGAGCTGGCTTCCCGTTCCTGGTGGCACAGCGTGGCTTGGCCAGCCCCAGGGCAGTAGGACATGAAGAACAGCCAAGCAGCCTCTCGCTCCAGCAGTTCAGGATGCTGCTGCTCCAGGGCTGAGCTCCAAAGTGCCAGTGAGAGGTGACAGAGCTGCAAAGCAGAAAGCAGCTGAGCTTAAACAGAGGGATCTGGAGGAGCCATGTGAAATCTACCTGGTGAACACCACCTGGCAAGTGGCAGCTGAGATATTGAGCTGCTTCAACAAGGTGGGTGGGGAAGGCACAGAGTATGAAAGACACAGAGCCACATCTGAAAGACGTGCAGGCAAACCCATCCACTCTCCCAGCATACAAGGCAGAAACAAGGGGATGGCATGAGCAAGTTTCCTGCTGCTCCTGCTGCTGGTATGAGGTGCTGACATCTTACGACAGCAGGGAGAAAGGCTCTTGTATATCTAGGTCCAAACATGGCCATAAGGAGCCTGGTGGACAAGGACCTTTAGAAGCTATGCACGGAGAAACGTAACTAATGGCATTCAGCATGTTCAAACAAAAGGAGCACGAGGTGAAGGTGGCCTGCTCCATCTCTGCCATGCAAAAATGTGCATGACCACCTCCTGCCTTTTTTGTTCAGTGTCCCTTCTTCTCTTAACTGTCCTGCTGTCTTGGTTAACATTTACTAATGAGCTATGTGCTGCACTTCCCTTAATGAGGCTGTGCTGGTTGCTTGATGACACTCAGTGTAAGCAGCCCTTTGCCAATGCTAACCTGCATTGGAGTCAGGCTATTGGTCCACTTGTTCCAATATTCACTCCCTCAGGTACATTAGGCAGTTGCTCACTGTGGAACAATTTAGGTAAGTTATGCTTGTGCAATTCAGCATACTGCTGAGGAAGTTTGTTTAAAATTCCAGCAAGGATGAATTTACCTAAGGGCGATGGTGACAACTTTCCACTAATATGAGTAAAAAATCTGAGTTTTAACTAAATATCCAGAGAGGAAAACCAAAGCCAGAGCAAGCAGGCAACATACAAATGAAGCAGAGCCTCACTACTGCACATCCTTTGCAGGAAAGGAAGAAATTTGACTTACGGGACAGTGGAGCGGTTCTCTGGCAGCTCTGGCAGGATTGGATGATCATCTGTTTTACTTACTTCAGGTTTAGCTGTGGGGGACACAGACTCCCTGACTCCTGTGTAGAAAAGAAGCAGTAATGGAGAACACTATCCTCCCTACCAGTTCCACTCACCCCAGAAAACAGCTATTCCAGTATGTCCTGCCATGGAAGGAACAGACTGTAGCCACATGAGGGACATAAACTTACCGTAGAGTTGCCAGATCCGGACTTTGTCCTCGTAAGGCAGGTCATACTTCAGAGGATCCCCCACTGGACCTTGGTAGTAGGGTCTCATGATAGACTCTATGGCAGAGATGTGGGTCAAGCCAATGGCATGGCCAAACTCATGGACAGCTACAGCAAAAAGGTCCATCCCGTGAGTGTCTGGAGATAAGGATAAAATTGAAATAAAAGTCACTAAGTGCTGAAAGTAATTGGAGGATTTGGGTGGGCTGCAAGGGCAGAAAGAGAACCTGTAGGTTTATGTTGAATAAACTGGAAAGAAGAACTTTGAAATAGGTGAAGTTTGAAAAATACATTTTTTCCAGTTATAGACTGGGGTAGATCATATGAAAATAGAAAGCAAGCGAGACTTCAGCCTACACCAGCCTGGGTATCGCTCCTCTTATTTCCAGATCACTGCTGGCACCTGAGAAAAAGCTGGACAAAGGGCTGAGACAGCAACCACGTCACAACCATCTGCTGAGTGGTGCTGCAGAAGCTGGGCCAGAGCAGTCACTCCCTGCGTCCCATGCCTGCTGCAGCTGCTGACACAGCCTTTAAATTGCCCAGAATACCAGATTTCTGAAGCCACCAGCCAGGAGCTCGTCACATCCTGTGACAATGAGCCAAGCCATGTGCCAAGGAGCTGGGGAGTGCCAGCGGTGCCTGCCTGCCCACGGTGCTCTGCGGGGCTTTCGCTGCCTGGCCTCGCACGATGCTGCCCCGGCCAAATCCATTCCTCAGCCTTCCTGTATGCACACAAACATGGGAATGTTCATCTGCTTATCAACCACCAACCTGCTCATCTCACTGCTGCCCTGACACAAGTAGGTGACTGTGTCCAGCTTATTTTTAGAGGATTTACCACCTTCTCCTGTTACACATCTTGTGCTGACAGGGCTGCAGCTCTTGTGTCTGCTGCCTTTGGCAAACACTTTGATCCTCACACACCACAATGGGCATTAGGGAGACACTGCTGAACATCAGTACCTCGAGGCTTTGATGACTTTTTTCCTTCAGCCTGGGTTGCCTCTAATGTATTCTTGTAAAGGGTTGGCACTGGCGCAGTACCAGTGCACCCATGAAAATATGTTTTTCTCAAATGAGTGCTGTGAGATGCGACCAGAGACAGAGCAGAGCAGGCTCAAGCTTAAAAATAAATAAAAACTTTATTAACCTACAACTATAATAAAAGGAACACACAGAATTCAGAATAAAAACCTTCCAACACATTCCTCCTCCCCCCACCCAATTTCCAACAAAACACAGTGAGACAAAACCCTGGATTCCCAATCAAGTTACCACCCTTCAGATAATCAATTCTCAGTTCATCAAGGGAGAGAGGAGTCTCTCTTGTACAATAGACTCCCCCAGGAAACACAATTGCAACCTCTTGTGTTTCCATGTCACACATGGCACTGCCTGGAGAAAATCTGCCATTGTGACACCCTCCTTCCATGCACAGTGCTCTCACCACCGTCCATGGACCAAAACTGCTTATAGGGCTCCTTTAAGGATGCTTTTCAAGTACCAAAGAACAACAGTTTCTCATTTCTGGGACAACAGTCCCCTCATTTTTTCCTCCCCTGGGGCCGAGGGTCTCGAGAACAGGCACCACCACACCCTCCTCATTTTTCCTTTGTTCACTTCACTCCTGCACATGACGTCACTCACTGAAACAGGTCATTCCCACTCCTGTCACTCTCTTGGTTCAAGTCATTGTATCCCCCTAGAATGCAGTCTGTGTTACAGGAGAAATTGGTTCAGCCTATGGCTATACAAGAAAAGTCCAGCCAAGGATATTCCATCATCTCCTCCCACCTAGGATTTCTTCTTCTAACATCTCAGATCCCAGACTTTCTTTCAAATTGAGGATGAGTAGGAAAGGGTTAAAGGTCTCGGGCTTCCAGGATGGCTGAGATCTCACAGCAGGCTGCTCAGCTCTCCCAGGGCTGGGCACCTTCCTCCCCCCAATACTAGAAGGCAGCAATGATTTTAAGTGTGGTTCTTAATAAAGATCATGATGTCAAGTATTGTAATACAGAGCAGTGAGGTTGGAAAGATCCCTGCGGAGGCTCAGGGGAGTGTCTCATTCCCTGAGAATGATTGGAGAGGAAAGAGATGGCTTCTTTGCCATCTGAGATAGCTACTTTTTTGCACAAAAGTAGCCATGGCTGATCCTGCCCAGTTCTTAGAGCTCCTCACCAGGCTCAGGGTACTGGAGCATGGGGATAGTCTTTGCTGAATTTTGCCTTTTCCTTCATTACTATTATTCACAATGTCTGTATATTTACAGTGTCTGTAACCAGGCAAGATTTTTATAACCTGTGCTGTTTTCCCTGGCACTAAGACAGAACAAGACATATACTCTCTGACATTTTAATGCCTGACTGACAACCTTGGGGATATTTTTATATCACCTACCAAGTTGTTGTTTCTGAATCAGTAGAAAGAACAAAATAAATAAAAGATGAAGCTCAGATAGCTCCAAGATCTTCAAAATAGAGGGCAGCTTTTTGCTAGCAGGCTAATCCCCTTATCCCTTGGTGGAGCTTGGAGGAGCACTCCCTGCTGGAGCGCTGGCTCTGAGCTCACTCCTTCACTGGAGTTTGTTTCACAATGAGCACTTCCAGCCCTAGCTGCAAAACTGACTCCATCACTAACACATTCCCTGTGGGAAGCTACTGACCAAAGTGCTTGCCTCTGCCCTGTACGTCTGCAGATCAAAACTGCTGATTTTCTTTTTTTCCCTCCTGATAAGAGCCATCAGTTTGGGCTGGAAACGTGAAACAAGGAGCAGGTGTAATTCTCAAAGATCAGACAGTTCAGATCTTTAACCTTCATCTCAAGACCTGCTCCAGCACCCCTGGTGAACACTCCTGCCCATGAACATGCAGGGGCAGCCTGTCCAGATCTTTAACCTTCATCTCGAGACTTGCTCCAGCACGCCTGGTGAACACTCCTGCCCATGAACATGCAGGGGTATGGATGCAAGTCAACAGCTGGGCAGGAAGAAGGTATTAGCTTGTTTCAGAGAAGACAGGTTTAAACAAAGTCATTAAGCTGAAGCAGGCAGGATCCCACTAGGAGGCTGGTGGAGGAGGTGGCATGACAAGTAAATTAGCAGCTGGTGGCTGCAGAGAAGGCATTCTGTCAAAATACGCCTAACACAAGGGCTGGGGACCTGATCCCCACAGATGGTTTTGCAGCTGAGGAACACTTGCCTCGATACTCCCTCTGCTAATTAAAATTCTGCTTTTGCCAGATAAGATGAAGATAGAAAACAATTGCAGCTTGTAACCATCCTGATGTTAGGTAATAGACAGGAGATGGCAGGAAAAAACTAGGCCTTTTTCCCAGCACAACAGAGAGCCCTTTATACATAGATCAGCTAACAGTAAACTTTAAAAATAGGAATCTGGGACATGTGGCAGTGAAGGCACCCAAAAGATGTCAAAGTTAGAGAATACAGTCCCCATCCAAGAGCTCCAGGAGGGGACTGTGATTGAGCAATGGGGAGCTCTGGAATCGCTGACAGGATAAAGAGAAATTTGGAGATGCCATTGAGGCTTCCAGGAACATAAAAGTGTCCTCAACACTGCCTGGGTTGATTTTGCTAGCAAGAGGAATCAGATGACTTCAGGGATCCTGAAGCCTGGGGTGAAGGTGTAGCAGAGGCTAAACCCCTCCAGCCACCAGAGCAGAAGAGGGAAATTGTGAACCCTTGTGCTTGGCTGCAGCTCTCCCACCCTGACCTACCTGATGATCGGAAGGTCCAATATTCGTCATCGTCAAAATGAGTGTCCCCTGCTGTGTGATGGTCACCGGGGAAGAAAGCATGAGCCACCGTCCCACCAGGGCCGTCAAAGGGATAGCCATCATTGTGATCTGCCTTGGAGAAGTCTATCTGGATGTCAGCATTGTTTCCGGCCACTTCATGGAAATTCAGTGGAGTGATGTCACTCCAGACCTTCAGGGCATAGTACATCAGGGCTCGGACAGTGTCATGGCCCAGGTGGGACTCTTTTGGGAAGGTTCGAACTCTGAAACAAAGAGGGCAAAAAAGAGGATGGTTCAGTAGCATGAAAGATCTCCAAGAACAACTGGAACTGGCTCTGCAGGTGCCTGATGCCTCAGAGCCAGAGTGAGGCTTTCAGAGCTTTTTGCTGTTTTGGGCTGACCATGTTCCCTGTATAACCCAACTTTGAAAAAGAATTCCTAATATTGTTGATTTAATAAAGGAGATGAAAAGACAAAGATGCAACAAGACACCTTGGCTTCTAAAGGAATATTTTTAGATAATCTTTTGTTGAAAATTTTCACAAAAATAGACACGCTTTCCAAGCAAATGCACTGTTGATTGAATACTTATTGATAAAAGCCTGTTTGGATGGATAACTTCTGGCCAGCTGTACCCCAGTAATAACAGATGATACTTTCTTTTTCAAGCTGGACACACCAGCCAGTGTTTTCATGGTCTGACAGATTTTTAAAGGCTGAAGCAACAATTATGACTACATCACTTACACTGCTGCATAACACAGCTGTGACAGCATCACTCGGTACCAGGCCACTTCCCATCACCAACGGGCAGTGATGACCTAACTACACTTCACAAGGTAATTACAAGTGTCAGAGTGTCACACCACTCAAGCTCATCCCGAATAGCAATTTGAGTGCTGGGAGACAGCATGGATGTGAAAAGGGGAGTAGGAGCAACTTGCTTACTGAGGTTGGGAATGCATCCCACACCCTCAAGAGACAGGCACCATCTTTGGGCCAGGGCAAAACTAGTCAGGGTTGAATCTCTGATAGAACAAAGACTCATAAACCTAAGCAGAAATCTCACTAATAGTTCCTCTGAAGCACTTGGAAAGCTCATCCTAGAAACAGTGGGAATGAGTGGGTGAATCAGGAAAAACACATCATAGCCAAATGAGGAAAAAATCATTAATATCTTTGCCTTTGCTATCCCTTGACTCTTTGGGGAAAGAAAAACCTTATTGTCTAATCTAAATGAGTTACATGCATGTAACACCAGATGATTGTAGGACTTCAAAGAAAACACATTTGTAAAGGAGACAGCAGAGACATACTGTCATGGGGTGATGTTATGATGCTGGTATCCCCAGTCGTGTGTTCTGTTTATGTTTGATATTATGTTCTGTGCTTTCAGAACTGACTCTGAAAGTGAAGGTTTGTTTTGTCTTGTTATCAGCTGGCTCACCTCCCCCCATGGTCTGTTGTCTAGAAGAGGCTGGTGCTGGCTGGCTGGCTTTTGCTTTGCTTGCTGGCTTTCGCTTGCTTGCTTTGCTTGCTTGCTTCTGCTTTTGCTTTTGCTTGTTAGTTAATTTAGCTAAGCAGTCCAATTCTTTCCCTGGATTGTTTTTTTTTTTTTTTCCTTTCCCTTTCCTGAATATCACTCCAACCTGCTCCAGACTGCGACCTGGGAAACACCGAGGAACACCCAGAGCCTGCGCTCTGTGATCTGCAGCAGCCATCCCCAGTGCCCAGAGCAATCCCCAGCGCCCAGACCTGGGCGACCATTCCCAAGAGAGACTTTCTGGATTTGTCATCTCTTCAGAGTGGTAAAGGAGTTTTGTTGTCATCTGGTGTTGTTATTTTTTTTTTGTGCTGGGGAGTGTTTTGTTTGTTAAATAAACAGATTCTTTTCCACTTCTCTCCGAGAAAATTCTTCCTGAACCAGGCGGGTGGAGAGGGGCCATGGGGGTTTGTTTTCTGGGGGCTCCTTCCAGAGGTTTTTCTCCCAAATTTGCCCTAAACTAGGACAGGTACAAACAGTATTAGCATGGAATTAGAAAAGACAATTTTCAGGCAAATTTTAATTTATAGAAGAGATTGTTTCCAGATTCAATCCTCTACAAGACAAAGGCCACCTGGATTCCGGCTATTCATTAACTAGCTGTCTTCATCTTTTATAACACTCCTCGGAACTTACGTAAACCCTTTGCTACTTTAATTTCTAAGGAGTAAGTCATTATACGTGTAACACACACCATGTTTAGCCCAGGAATTATGACCTTTCTCCAGGATCTTGGTGCCTAAGGCACAGAGTCACATTTAGGGACATTATCTGCTCTTTCCTCCCCAAGCCCTGCTCACCATGTGACCTATTTTCTTTTCTTTTTCTTTCCAGCTGTAGAATGAGGATAATAAATCAGATCTCCCTTGTACAAGGATGGTGGATAAAAAGCCCTGTCTAAAGAAACAAATATTATTAATATTCATTCCAAGATGTGACTCCAGAAGCATTAGATTAAGGCAGAAACAGAATCAATACCTATTTTACTTCTAAAAAAGTCCTACACCTCTGAGCTGATCCACATTTTATTCATATGCTGAAAGTGTAAGTGAAAAGTCCCTTATCCTTTATTCATTATCACTGTCATTTTTCAAGAGAATCCCATCAGGGTTTTTCAATTCAGCATCTGATTTGATTGCTGGATCTCTGCTAATTGCTTTCAATGAGATTAGGAAAAGACTATTATGCTGATAGGATGTTTGTTGGCCTTGCATCACCCAATTCCACTGAAAAGGAGGCATATTTCTAACAGCATGCAGATAAAAAAGCTTCCTCCTACCTTAACTTATTATTATTAGTAGTAGTAGTAAATCATGCTTAGGTTTCCAGCGAAGAGAAGCACTCCTTCTTCTTGGATGTAAACCCCTTCTGAGACTCCTTGTACAGAACTCAGATCTTGGGCAAAAGCCTGATGTAAGTAATTGGAGAGAAAGCTCTCTGCTCCAGGCAGCCTCTGCCAGCTTGAGAGGGATGAGGACTGGATTGCTCAGTCCCTCCAGCCACCCCACCAACACTGCCCTAAGCTGTAGGGTCAGTCACATCCCTCTGCAAATCACACTCTGGGACGTCCTGAGGAGTGTCCATCCCTGTGGTGGATGGGGCTGCAGGAGGAAGCATCAGCCACAATGCTGGAACTGGCAGCTGCTGAGCAGGATGTGGAGTTGAGAGACACAACTGGATACCAAGGAGAAAATCCCTGCTCTGCATTTAGTGCTCAGCCAGGCAGCAGCATTGCCATACAGACAAATGAGTGCTGACTCTCACACAGTGCTGCCAGTCCTTCACATGTGTCCCCTGAGTCACCTCCTTTGCTTGACCCATCCCAAACAGACTTTGTATCTAGAATGCTTAAGTGGAGACTAGAGAGGACTGATCTGCCTCTGTTTGCCACCGAAGGGCACCCACATCTATTTTGATTTCTGCGTTCCTTATTGCTTTTAGTCCTCCAAAAGACAAAAGTGGGAGAGTATCAGTGATGGATAAGAAATCAATAGCTCATTAATGAAAGCACTCTTTCACCTTCCCAGTCCTGAAACAACAAACAAATAAAATAAATGCAGAGAACTACCAAACATGGCAAGCTAAGGGGTGCTTGATAAACCCACACTGATTTTTCTTGGAAGGGGAAGGAAGAGGGGATAGTTGAAAGGGTAGATGCTTGCTGCCTTCGTAAAGGTGCTTTTTCAGCTGCCCAGAGCAGCCTTGATCCAGTGCTACCCTGGCAGTGCTTCAGGAAGAAAGCAGCAGGTATTGGAACCCTCCATCATCCCTCTCCCAGCAGTTAGACTATCAGCCAAAAATGTTCCGTTTTTTCGTTCTCCTGCCCTTTATCACACACAGTCACACCCAAGCCACTCTGTCTCCACACACCTCCCTGCTCTCTACCTCAGCTGCTCGGGAAATTACCTGTGGGGGTTTCAGTTGACTGTGACAGGGGCATTACAATAACCTAAGGAAGCTTGACACTGACAGGTGACTGTCTGCCCCCCTTGGGCACCTGTCAGCTCCAGACATGGGGGACAAAGCAGTCTGGGCTTTGGATGGGAGGTCCCCATGGCAGGACGCCACTGATTAAAGGAGGAAAGCAGGAGGATCAGGACCATTGTGGGGATGGAAGCACAGAACTGGGCATTGCAGCGCTTTCCTCTTGATTGCCACCCCTCCACGCTTGAGTAAATCCACACCTGGGCTCAGGCAGTGGCACCTCCCCTCAGGGAATGGCTCAGGACACTCACAGCAATGGTGGGCACTGACTGATTGATGTCACTGCTCCTCTCCCAGTGGGGTCTCCTCTTGCTCTGGCAGCCCATGGCCTGAACATCAGTGTCAAAGACTGTAGCTCTGATGAGATGGCAGAAGAGAGTAGTCCTTAACTACAGACAGATGAAAGCCAGCTCAGTTCAGCATCAAAAGGAAAAAGCTGGACAATTTTAAAAGCTGAGCTTCCATGGCTCCCACTTCCTCAGGGAGCTCGAAGTGTGCAAAGATGGGGCATGGCCCTGCTGCTGCACTTCCCAGGACTGCGGAAAAACAGCAAGCACTGGGAAGAAATGGAGATAGGCCAGCTATGAACTCCCCTTTTGTGGGGTGTAACTAGAAGCAGTAAAACAAAATCAGCAAACATGAGGGGGAAGTGGCTGCGGGCAGCTCCGGCGCTGATGCCGGCAAAGGGAATCCACATCACACCACTCTCTCAGCAGCTGCCTTGGCACCTGGGGAGAGCGCAGGGTAAATAAAATAATAACAAAAATAATCATGTGAAAAGAAAATTTATATGCTGTAATATCCTGGAAACGCTACATGGTGATGAGATACAGAAAACCATCTATTTCTGATACAGTAATGGGATGCTACAAGGCTTTACTGTGAGCTGTGCAGAATGCAGCCTGTATTGTTTTGTTCCTTAGGCCCTCCAGTCCCATGGGTTGGTTGTACTCAAAGGTAAAAAGGTAAATAGGTAAAATACCTATAAAATTTCATTTGTCCAAAACTGCCTTTTCAATCAGTGCTTGTGCCTGTTTTAAGGCCCTCCTTTCCTACAGCTCTGCTTACCTGTTTATTTCAGCCTTTCAATTGTTCAGGTTTTACTTCAACTTTTAAATCTATGTCAGAGTAGCATTTAGTTTTGTTTTCCCCTTTTAAAATCTTCAAACAATGTGTAAAATGTAAGCGAGTAAAACTTTTATGTCTCTACTGAAGACTTTCAGGGCAGTTTCCAAAGAAACAGCTTAATCTCAAGTGTTGGATATAAATACTACATTGGAGTTTCTGTAATGCTATAGTGTTCTGCTGGCAACAACCTACCATTGTAAAATACAGCCCTTTCCTGGACAAAAGACAATATTTTTGAAAGGATCAAAGAATAAAAAGCAGAAATTACTTTGTCAGTAGATGGATTTTTTTTATGCCTGATAAATAGAATATTGTCTAAAATATAACATTGTCCCAAGACCTATGCCCCTTTTTATGGCAATCCTTGCTACAGCATCAGTTTCCAAGGGGGTAGGAGGTGGGGGATATCCCAGGGCTGCATCCACCAGAACAGCCACACCCCATTTCACCTCCACATTTCTCTCCAGCCTAGACTCGGGGATACTGTGTCAGCACATCCAAAGTCCTGATGGCACCTGCAGTGCCAGTTCCCTGACCGTGCTACCCTGCCATGGGATGTCATTCAGGTTTGTCAGGAGCTTCTGGGGTCAGGCTGTGCACAAGCCATGCCCCTACACTGGCTCTGGCACCTCCTAGAACACCAATGCGGGTTTTCTTTTTACACCCAAAGGATTTTCTCCTTTCTGAAATGTGAAGTACTTCCTCTTTCCCCATAAAGTCAGGGCTGGGCAACAGGGAGACAGGTTGAGTTTTTATAACATGGGTCACTTCACAACATGAAGCCATCTACGAACCAAAGTTGTTTCTTACTGAAGCTGAATTACGTTTATCTTATCTAAAAATAAAGTCTCAAAGGCATCCGCTGGAACATAGACCAAATCTCTGCTAAGTTTCAACATGTTTCAAACAGCAACAGCCAATCTGAGATTTGCTACTGCAGTGGGACAAGGACTCTCTCTAGGGGCTATGCCAGGGTCAAAGTAAAACTTATTATTAATACGGAGAACTTTTCATAAAATCCACATGTGTTTTCAGGACGGTATAAGCACCTCATGCTGCACACTGTTCTTAGAGGAAAAATCACTGCAGCACACACTTATTTGAGAAAGGAAAAATGAGTCCCAAAAAGCACAAATCTTGGGGGGACAGGGATCAATTTGCTTGCCAACCCTGACCTGCAGTATATTTCTGAAAGCTGAACCTGAACTTCTGTTCGTCACAGGTGCAGAGGAATCCTGACACTGAGGGAAAAATACTCGCCTGTGGCAAGGATTAGGAGAAAAAAGTGACTTTATTACCCAGAAAATGCTCCTACCCTTGGACTCAGATGGGGCAAGAGAAGAAGCTCCAGGCTTGGCAGCTGCCTGAGAAAGCACAGAACTAATGAACTCAAGAAAAAATATGCTCTAACAACCATTGCAACCCAGCAAAAAGCTCCCAGCTAATTCACCAGCCAAATGTGTATCATTTTCAGCCGCTGCCAAGTGGGTCCAAGAAGTCACTGCTGAGACTGTCAGGAGAAGACTTAAAATAAATAGTCTATGAGGTCTTGGGAGGCCAGAGGGACAAGTTTTAACCAGCACCCTAAAACTCATCTCGAAGCCATATTTAACAAAGGTGACTGTGGAATTGTTCTTTAGCTGCAAGATTTCAGCAGGTATAGATGAATTCCTACCTCCAGGACAAGTTCCTTTTGCTCCACTTGGTGACAGCCTGGGCAAATCGCTTCCTCCTGGACTCTTCAATGGTGAGGTCGGGCAGAGAGCAGCGAGGGGTCTTCATCAGCTCCAGGGTGGCTTCATCTAGGGTTAGAGAAAAAACAAGAAATCATGGGAATGGTGGGTTAAGAAATCCCAGGGGGACAAAGATACAGGAAATGAAGTGCTAAGACTGAACCAGAAGAGCAAAAGTGGATACTGAGGAGTCCACTGGGGCATGGCACCAGCCCCAGCATGTCATGATGACACCCACTATGATGAGACCCCTATTTTCCACTGCTGCTCCCACCACTGGACAGTAATTCCTGCTGGAAGCCCACCTGTGGCCAGCTTTGACTATTTTTTAAAATATATTTTTTCAAATATTCTGTTTTTTTCTCTTTTGATGAATTTCCAAGTATTTCTATGTCAAGGAGAAACACTCACATATAAATAAACTCCATCTCTGTTCAGCTAGGAGCTTATTTGAAGAATGTCCATGCTCCTTCTTATTATCTTTTTTAAATGAATGAAAGCTTGGAGTGCCTATTCTCACCAGCTGAAATGCAGAAAAGTTGTTTCATTCACTAACTTCCCTACTGACTTTACCTCTTAAACTCTGTTTTCATGAACAAACCCACAACTTTGACCTGCCCAGGGCAGCCATCCCTCTCCCTCCCAGCCCCCCCAAGACAGTTTCGAACACCCCCTCTGAAAATATAATTTGAATGGCCACTCCTGTTCCAGGGTCTCCTGCAGCTTGTGATGCAGTGGAAATTATTGCATGTGCTCAATTAAGACCACAGAAAGGAAGTCCCCATGTTGGGAAGCAGCTGTGGCTTCAGGGGCCTAGCAGAGGGATTGCTGGGGTGTTGGGATGGATAGAGACCCGCCTGCTAATTAGCTGCTACTCCTTAATTGTGTCTTGAGCAGCAGAAGCATGCTGGCCCCATGGCAGGAGGGTTACAGAGGGGAGGAGAACAGAGAGGCATCGTTCTGCAGGCCGGGATAATGCTGGCTTTCTCCTTCCCTCAGTGAAGGCTTTGAGAGGAATGACCCCAACCACGTACTGCTTCAGCCTGCCCTTGGACTGCATCCTCCCAGGCAAATGTGCCTGCCGCACAGATGCCACTGCCTGCCTCTGCTGCTGGAGCAAGTGATGGGCTCCTAGCTGGCTGGGCATGACTGGGGAGCACCGGGAGCAGCTGTGGCTCTGTGAGATCCCAGGAGACCCCCAAGGAGCCTCCTGGCTCTATGCACTGTGGGCAGGAGGAAACAGAGTTGGGGCAATGCAACACCATCCTTCTCCCTTCCCTGCCTGCGCCCCAGCAGCAAGGAACCCAATATACCTATGCATACAAATTGTGAGGCTTAATCAGGATTTCAGATCTATTCAATTTGATGCTGCAAGTAAAGCTTTGAACAGGACAACTTTCTCTCTTTTTTCCCCTTGTCTTTTTAAATTCTTTTTGTTGGTTTACTTTTTTTTTGGAACACACCAAGAGCTATTTTAATCACACTGAGCACCCCAAGGGTCTGTGGGTCTGCTGAAATAATTGCTTGCCTCAGGTTCTTGAAAACACAAGGCAACAGAACACCTGAGCCATGTAATTACTCTTACAGCTGCAAACTGGGCCATATGCTCTACCCACAGTGGAGCTTTTCCTGCTGCTGCTGCTCCAGAACACAACAGCAAGTCCCTTCTCCCTCATGGACCTGCAAGAAGCCATCCCTGCCTCGCTCTGCACCAAGGAGAGGAGGAATCATGAGCCACTGACCTAGGACTCCTGTGGCCTTAAGCCCCCCGAACCTCTGCATGGCAGTGATGGCCTTGGTGAGCTCCTCCTGCGTTTGCAGCTGCCCCGTGACTGGGTCCGGAGGAGGCAGATACCCAAATTTTGTCAGCCAGTCCTGTAAAACAAGGCGAAGGGGAAATGAGAAAAAGAAATGAAGGAAATATAGACACAGCGAATGATGCTCTGAAGGTCCTCTCCCTTCAATACGCCCTGATAGTTTGAGGTCATTAGCTCAATGGTTAGATTTGATGATGTCAAGACTATTTTCCAACTTAAATGATTGTGGGGGTGGCTCGTTTTACCTTGCTCGGCTCATCCCCCTGGACGCAGCATCTCACAATGGGATGATGTAATTTTATCAGTCATGCAGTGAGATTCAATGTCCCATTAGTGGAAGAGAGAAAGAAACCTGCTCCACCTGGTTTTACAAGGTGGCTTAATTAACAGACGATAACTGCTCTACCTCTAAGAGATAGCAACAGAATACACACCCCCAGCCACATCTTGCATTTACAACCAAAAACACTTGACCTTCACAACACAGTGCCACACAGTCATCCAAGACCTGAGGCAGATGACCTCAGCATTGACACAAAACAGCCCTTTTCTCCAACATTTCCACACTCCCTGGTTTAATCATCTTCCTGACAGTTGACATAAAGTATTTACAGCCAGGTACAGGTCTCTACCACCAGAAAGCAGCAGGGACCTGTGGAACCCCTGGACGTCCCTCTTTCCCAAAGCCTAGGCAAGCACAGCCATGTGCCAGTGGTCCCCTTGCCACAAGCATCTCATTAAACCCAAACCCACTGTTCAATTGGAATTTGTCTCTCAAAGGACACTATACGTTTATGAAGATTTTTTCTCTTCTGAGGCTAAAATTGATGGGAGAAAATGCTATACATCTCCTTCTTACAACTGCTTTTTAAAGTGAATTACTTTTCTAAATCCTTTCTTACCTTCCTTCTCTCTCCTTCCATTCCCTTGGCAGAAGGATGAGCAAGGAATAGCAATACTGCACACAGGGGATGCCATAAACACCTGCTCTCTGTTTTCTTTATCTGTATCAAACATTAATCTGTTGAGCCTCTTGAAGACTGATATTGATCCACTGCAGCCAATAAACCACAAATTGATAGTAGCCAGATTAGTCCTAGAAGCCAGTAGCTACTTATCAGTACATTCTGAATGTCTCATAGTTTGGTGTCACCTGCAACAGCCACCCTGAATACCACAGAACCCCCAGCCCCTCACTCCAAAGTCCAATTAAACAGATTCATGCTTACAGAGCTTTATGACAGATCTCCCTAGGCTTGGCATGACTCTCTACCGGGGAGCATGGCCTGCTGTGCTGGGTTTCTCACTAGCATTTCACTTCCCTCCCAACCCTCCTTCACAGTTGCCTTATTTCAGTGGGATGGTGTGCTCAGGAAACAGCCTATCTGGCCATTTCTTGTTGATTAATGCAACTCCATTAGCCACCACCTTGCTGGGAATGTGTGCATCGTCACAGCCCTTCCCTGCCATCGGGCTGATGGCCAGGTGCAGTACTGTCCCCTCTACTACCCTGCTGTTTTTTGTCCCTTTGCATAGCCAAGCTATTTGTGACAGAAATTAGAGATACAATTCATCTTTGATTCTTTGTGAGAAATTGCCTGTGACATGGAGGTCGGCAGCGGGCCCATCAATTGCGGAGGATGGTGGAGTTTAATTTGGTTTCTTCCCTTGCCATAAAGACTGTCATTTATCCTCTAATGCCACACCAGAAATAGGCACAACTCGACTGTCTGTGGGGGCTCCTGGGGATGGAGGTGGCAGCAAAAGGCTGGGGAAAGCAACAGAAGAGGGATATTCAACAAAAGTTGCGCGGGTCTTCTTTCCTTTCTAACCCCAGGGGACAGAGAAAGCACAGATATGAACGACACCCCACAGCAAATCAGGGGCCCTCTACATAAAAGATGGAATGAGTGGTCAGAGATCACAAATCCTGCACTTGATCTACCTTGCAAGCACTGATTTCCCTTCATGTGATTTTTCATCTGGACCATCAAGTTTATGCTGCTTTACTCAGATGCTCCTTAGTTTTACAGACCTCTGTGATCCTGCTCGCGTTCAGCTCTTTTCCATGTAGGAGTTTTGACTGGTTTCCTCTCTCTCTTGTAAGCAAAGCTGATTCATAACATTGAATTTTAACATTCCACCTTTGCTGTGGCAGAAAATTTCATGAGGGAGACCAAAGATGGCTTGGAGATGAGAAAGAACAGCAGAAATTGTCTGGCCAATTATCTGTGTGCCCCATGAACACTTCTCAGATATTTTCTTGTCCTTAATAATGACAAAGGCTACATTTACATACTTCGATAAATAAGAATATGAAAACATTTTCCATTGAGATAGCTTCAACACATCCCCTTCTTATTTCCACCTTAATAAAAAAGAACTTTTTTTGCCAACTCTCACTAGCTTAAAATGTTTAAATGAAATAGTGATTTCAGCTGAAAGCTAAAATTCTGTGAACATATTTCTTGCCTGAGCTGGCACTATAAAAACTTTCCTTTAAAAGTGTGTTGTGCTGAATGAATTGACCTACTCCCACAAGAAGATTCAGCTTCAACAACTATTTCAAAAGTAAAAAAAATGCTTCATCAAAAATGTGGGAACTCAAAATGTCTCTCAGACATTTTTAGAGGTTCCAGGCCTTGGTCAGAAGCATTCTAGACCCTGGCAGACAGCTGAAAAACAACTGTGATTTTGAGTTTGAGCCATGGAATGAATTACCAACTTTGGAGGTGGAACAAGCAATCACAAAAGGTTAGATAGTATAGTATAAGTAGTTACAAAGTAGAGGGGAAATTTTTTTAGTATTGTACAGGGGGGTTTTAGCACATGTACAGGGGGGTTTTCACTTTGTACATGAGGGTCAGAAGTTCTAAGATGGAGGAAAGTGGGCTGATCCCATCCTTCTTCCTTCTTCTTCCTTACCTCCATGTTCTTGGTGATGTTGGCACTCATAGATTGGTTTAGAGTAGAAAAACACTTGGCAACGTAGGTAGTAGGTATTGGGGAATAATTGTAAACATGTTATACGTAATATATCTTATAAAAGATAGCAGCAACCCTGGGCGGAGAGAGAGACGAAGAAGACAGCAGATAGAGAGGATGTCAGGGTGTGTGTGTGCCTCTACCCAGGCCACTGATCAAATAGCTGCAGTCCAAGAACATAATCTGTTAGATAACTAGCAATAAACTGCCTTGAGACCGAACAGCTAAGCCTGCGGAGTTTTTCTTTGGAAGCACGGGTTGGAGGAGGAATTTCACCACCACATGTGGCCCCAAAACAAGGCTGGGGTTCCCACACAAAAAAATCAGATTAATGCCATGTCTAACCATCTTCCAGCTCTGAGAGGAGCTGGGAACAAGTGAGGCTGCACTACATGACTCATGCTATGCCCCACAGTAGGTACCTTGGTCTGAGGCTCACATGATCCTGGCTCAATTTTTGTGGGAATCATCACCAGCAAAGATGGGTCTGGAAGCCATGTCCAGAATGAATCTTCTGATCCAGCTCCACCACTGAGCAATACAGAATGAAAGGCGCCACACTGGCTCAGGTCCAGGAAAAAAAATAAAAGAAAAAGGAAGACCACAAAGGCAGAACTGCATGCCTGACAGAGAGGTCCAAAACCACCCACCCATCTGCCCCTCCTCTCTGCCAGCTAAACACAGATGTCAGCAAGAGCTACAAACCACAGCTAGGATGTTTATGGACAAAACAATGTCCCTTCTAAGGGCTGGAGGGCCTCCTTGCCCCATTCCAGATCGTGGGACTTGCACCGTGTCCTCGGCAGTGGGAAAAAGCAGCTGCAGCTGTCTCAGGACAGTGGTACTAGGAAAAGAGAAAAAAATGAAAAAGAAAGAAATTTTTCCATTTACCCCTGGTTTCATGGTTTAATTTTACCATCCTACCAAGGGTGGTATGCAATGAAAGATTTCCAAAGTCTTAAACCAACTGCTCCAAACCAGAGTCTGCCTTTGCAAAGGGACCCTGTTAGCAATGCCACAGTGTTGTTCCTTCACGGAGCAGCTCCACATGTGTGTTTGGAGACAGATTACTCACTTGGCTGGCAAAAAATAAACTCTATTTTTTTTCTCATCTGGGTTCCCATCCATAATGGGGAAAAGCCTGCTTATTGCCTTAAAAAAAATGTTTAACAGAATTCAAAACTACAGATATTTTTCACTTTTATTTTTCCCATTTGGAGAAGCACAAAGTTAAGAAAAATGGTAATGCAGTCCTCCCCTCTACAAACAAGCTCTGCTTCTATTTTGGACCATTTTTTTTGCTCCTAAAGCCACTTGAATGAAATACCAGGTAGCAGCCAGGGACTGGAGTCTTCCAGGGTCAAGCGATCACCCAGAGGAAAGCGCTGGCTCCCACAGTAGTGAGGCCTCTGGTATTACTTATGCAGAGATAATTTTCATATTAAAATGGCAATTTTATTTCTTTCATCTCTCCACTTCCTTTGTATCAATATGCTTTTGTTATAGAACCTACTTACCTGCTCCATTTTAAAATAGACGTAGATATTGCCCTTCTTTTATGGAAGATTTATGAGCTCTGTAGGTCTGCTTTTACAAATATTAATATTATATAAGATGATGGGCTTATTCAGCTGCCAGAGGCAAAAGAAAGACTCAGTCAGCAAGTTTTCTTCCTGATGATTTCTTTTTAAGGATGGTAGGTTGGCATTTACAAGAAGACAAACCAGTTCAGGATAACAAGGAGAGGATAAACAGGATAAACAGCAAAACAGAAATCAGGATAAGGAAGAAAATTATACTCAAGCTGGCTCCACAATTCTGCCTGCTCTTGAAGTATTAAAATGACCATCTATCTAAAGCTTAACCCCAAACAATGAGGATGTTTTTCTCTTGGAGAAAAACAGCCTTAATCCTGTAGAGGTCATAACATTCCCTTTGCTCAGGGACGGAGATTGTTATCCTCAGTGTACCCAGCCTGTTGCCAAGCCGAGAGAAGAGCAGAGCTTTTCCACAGTCCCTTGCTCCTTGGCAGATTCCTGAATGGACCCTGAGCTTTGCACCACTGTGTCAGAC